CCATACTTTTTTTCATTTAAAAAAGGAAATTGAAAACACACCGCTCCTAGAAATGCTTGACATTGAATTGGCTATTGAAATGGTATCAGTAAAGTATTTATATATTCCATATTTTGTTCCATACATCAGCTTTCCTTGATGCGTTAGACTTGGAAGGGTGCCACGTGAACTGAAATGTTGCCATATATGAAAGACCGCCTTGTTTTAAAAATGGACTAAATCTTTTAGGGTACAGGAAGTGAAGTAAATCTGTTTGAATACATGCACATCTCCCTGTGCCCCTGCTCCTGCACCTTTTACCTTGTCTTCCCTATTCGTCTTCAGAAGCTGGCCGTGCTTACGGTAAATATCAGCGTTCACCTCACAGCTAAATGTAGTGTTAAAAATAACTCCTACCATAAAAACTGAATGAATGACAAGAACAGTGTAGTTTCATGAACCAAGAAATCCACAGAAGAAATATAATAATTTAAAGTTGGTTTTACAACATTCTTTAATTTAAAACGGAGCAAAATACTTCTGTGGTAAAATCACAGCTCTTCACTCTGTGCTGTAAAAGAGATTCAAGAATGTATATTTCAAAATGTTTTGGGTGTTTTTTTAAAATAAAAAATATAATCCAAAGCAAATGCAATAGATCTCTGCATACTTGAAACATATTTTCTGAGTTTATTCAAAGTCTCTCACTGCACCAGAGGGTTGTGTGTATGGATTAGGACTAGACCATTATTTCACCATCTATCTCCATCCTGAATTGATTGCAGCGAACACTGCAGAATGAATTGCAGATGTCTCCTTTTCCCTCCGGTTTGGAGGACCTCTGGTTTCAGCCCCGTTTGATCTGAACTGGGCTAAGGAGTGCAAGTCTGTCACTGTTTAGAGGGATTCAGTGGAAGAAATCTTTGCACCTGAAAGAAGTTACTCTCTCTGTATAGGCAGCCTGTGCTCAGCAATGTGTGATGCTGTGGGGTACTGCCTGTATGAAACTTTCTGGTGTGTCCCTGCTCATTCAGGATTATTGTTTGAAATGTCAGAGTCCAACAGAAAAATAATTAGAACTAGCTCTGCAATTAGGGAGTTTGGTGTGACACAAAAGCATAACAATGTTTTTGAATTCAAGAGATGAAGCAATTTTAAGACATGGTTTTCCTTAAAGTTCTTCCAAATTTCAGGCAAAGTTCAATGTATGTGCTCCTGTATTATAAAACCGGGGCAGATGTACATGAAATCCTACACAGGCAGGTTTTCACATGTAAAAAATACAGGTTTTCCTCTTGAGGGATTCTTTCTTCCCTTCCCAAACCCTCATCACCCCTGAGTATAGGGATAGCAGAATATCCACAGAGAGATTGCATGAAAAATGGCTGTACATAAAAGCCCTCATAGAATAGCATGGTTTAGGGGAAACTTGGCTTGTGAATATGATTTAAATACCACTTTGCCTTTAGCTGTGAAAAGTGTTGTTTGCTTTTTTTTTTTTTTTAAATTAAAATAATTGTTGTTGAAACCAGGACAATAACAAATAATGACTTGTAGAAGCTGGAGTTGTAGGCTAAGTATCGGACAGTACAAGCTTTAGGAGTTCAGACCGTGAGAACTGGTAACGCTTTTATTGGGGGCGGCTCTGCGTTGTGCTCCATCACCTCTCCATCCTCTTGAGAGATCTACCTCTTAAAACCAGAGTTGCTGGGGTTCCCTGGGGTTGTGGGTGGTGGGGTGGCGGTGGGCACCGAGCTGCTGTAGGCAGATGCTCCCAGCCCCGTGGCTCCCTTGGAGGTCAGGGAACCATCTGCAGAGGCGAGGAACAGGTAAATAGCAGCAGTGAGAGCAGAATGGCTCCTTGCAGGAGTTTTGCTGTTAAAGAGGATGGAAAAGTGGGATGTAAAAGCTGTTCTCCTGGGCGGCGGGGTGGTGGTGGCATCTTCCAAGCATGTGGAAGAGCTTTGCATTTTGCATTGTACTTCTTCAAAAGCCCCCCCCCGCCCCCCTCGCAAGGACAGTCTCTGCTCTGACAAGATAATCTTGTACACGGGTTAGAAGTGTTTTGAGGTGTGCTTGAAAGGAGCCTTATATCTCCTTGCAGAAGGCAGGGCTAGGAAACTTACGGACAACAAGAGATAAATCTGTCTGCCTGCGATCATACAGTAGCAGAGTGGGGTTTAGAGCTTCGCAAGGGGGAGAGAGAGGTTAAGGAAAGGTAAGAGGCCTGTAGAGGGTGGTTTTGTTGAGGTTTTTTTAACCCCCAAGAGGTCCAAAGAAAGGTAATTAGGAAAATCAAGCCTAATGTCGTTGGATTTATATGAGAAGTACAGGGGTCTGTGGATAATTTCAGCGATCTGCAAACCGGGTGGCAGACACTGTTCGAGGGAGTAAAAACCAGTTGGATCGCGGCAGAATGGCAATCTGAAATCAGAGGGCAGAACCAACACACTATTTCCCACTACCGTGTTCAATTTCAGTAACAAAACATTGCCAGCTTTTTGGGAAAGCCTCCCCCTTTCAATCTGAGCGCGTTTCTGATCAAGCCTGAACTTTGAAATATGCAGCAAAGGAGGGGAGCGGGAGCCGTGCGGTTGGTTACGGGCTCGGGATCACTTTTAGTTATCAGCAGCTGAATTGGAGGATACAGGCTGTGCCTGCTCGCTGCGAGCAGCAGACTGTTCGAGGAGTTCGGTTTCTCTCACTCCTTCTTCCACCCACCTCCATCTCCTCTGTGCCTGTGTCTGCGCTCCCACATGCTTCAAATCTGTGTACCTGGACTGCCTTCCTTAACAGTTCAGTGTGAGTGTTAGCAGAATGAAAACCAGATGGACCAGCAGTTCCCACTGTTATCTCCCCACCAGCTCTGGCAAGCCTCCCTTTCTCTCTCCTTTCTTGGCATGGCAGAAATATTTGCCTTTATTTAGGAGGGCTTGGGCTCTCTTTCCCTCTGTTGGAAAATGAGCTGAAAGCTATTTATTCCCTTGTTGCTGAGGTTGGTTGAGGTGAGTGCAAGATGAATTCGGCTATTAAGGAAGCAATTAACATTTCAAGACGAGTTTTCATAGTTCTTTATATTAAATGAATGGCTTGTTGAAGATACAGATTTAACTGTTTTAGTATAGCGATATGGAAAGGAAATTTGTGTAGAATATATTTAAAGACTCGCTTTTGTTTTCCAGTGTGTAATAATTTACTGTTGCTTGATTTGCAAATCAAACCTCACCTGCCTATGTAGCAGCCTTAATATTTAAGCAAATCATTTTGGATGCTGTTCCCTATACAGCTGGGGTTTACTAACCTTAGAAGCAGCACTATAGATGCTACAATACTGTATCTGTATTTGTGTTTCATTGCTCATCTTCCCCAAACTTGTCTCTAAATTCTCTGTGAAATGCCTCCCTTTCCCTGAGAACTGAAGCATCGTCTGTAGGCACTTCTACGCAGGGTGGAGATGGCTTCTGTAATTGCAGTACCTGACACACTCCATCTCTGGGACGTACCTCCTCAGTTTCCTCAGTTGCAGGCAGCTAAAGTTTGGTATCTATTATGCATTGCTAATTGTTGTGGGGGTTTTTTTTTAATTGTTTGTTTGTTTTTAATTTAAACTTTCTGGTAATTAAGTGTTTTGAGGCTCTTTTAAACATTCCCTTCTTTGTTAAATGTGTGCATTGCGTTTAATTTCTCTTAGTGTCTCTCAGGGCAAATTTTAGATAGGATTTTTTGGTTGAAGTTTGTATGTTGTTAGTAAGAACAAGGAAAGCACGTCAAAATGGAGTGACAGAATTTATAGAACATGACAGAATTGCTATTGGCTTGAATTAAAACCACAGACTTACATGCTTACCCATTAGCAGTGACACTTACTTGCTTTGCAAAACAGTTTAATGGAGCTCAGGAAGACTTGTGTAGGACAGCGTACAGAATAGATAACCCTGACCCCCCAAAGAGGGGACGGAAGAATTTAACTTACGCCTATTAAAAGCTAAACTTGATCTTACCCATCTCTATTCAAGATGGGTCGCTAAACTCCTGGCATGAGTAAAGAAGCCTTAATTTTGCTTGCAGTTGGTAAATGTTGTCATGTTTTGCCCATTCTCAATAAATGAAACATGAGGGTTTGGGTGCATTTTTAAAAAATTTTAACATAGAGGTGTCCAAAAAGATGTTGGAAAAAGAATATACTTCTGTAGCTTCTGTATCAAATCTCTTGCATCTTTAGATCTTCAGTTGCAAGAGAACTGTTAGGTTTTCTGCCTCATTTTTGCCTTTTGTTTGGTTTGTTTTCTTGGGGAGGTATGTTCTATTTGTCTTGCAGGTTTTGAACATTAAAGTTGTTGTTAATGTGTGAAGGTGCAAACTTTTAAAGCAACGATATGCTTTTTTAAAAACAATGGTATGTATCCGTGACTATTGACTTACCATTTTGGCATGTTCTGTTTATTTTTCTGGTGAATGTAAGAATATCCAGGGGCAGGGTGGTAAAGTGATCCAGGAGGCGTGCGGTATTTAACATAAGCATCTCTCCATGATCACAAAGAGAAGCGATGGGGAGGGCAGCAGGTGTTACAGAGAAGAGACATGGAGAGAGCTGGTTTCAACCAATATCCCACCCAATATCTCACCTGTACTAAAAAGCTTCAGGTTTTAGTTCTGGAAGAGCTGTCGTAAAGGGGTTTATTACCTTCCTGTCTCTTCATCTATTTTTTCCTCCTGGCTAATGTGAGAACCTTGAAGGGAGGTGGCATTATTGCAGCTCCAGGAGTGCTTGGGAGGTAGCATCTGCACATGCTAGAAATAAAAACAAAAGATAATGCAGCACTGCTACGAATGAGGTCTTACCATCTGTATTACACCTTCTTAAGTAAGGTTGAGGAAGAGCACACTGGAGTAGATAATCAGGTGTAATCTTTTGCGGCACATGCTGAAATGGCTCACTTCTTGCATTAGCTCTTAAGTTTTTGTCAGAGGGGGTGTGCTCGGGGAAATAAACCGGTGTGTTCCTGTGGTGTGTGTTGCAGATCGCACTGAGAAGCATTCCACAATGCCAGACTCACCTGTGGATGTGAAGACACAATCCAGGCTGACGCCTCCAACCATGCCACCTCCTCCCACTACCCAAGGAGCTCCAAGAACCAGTTCATTCACGCCCACAACGTGTAATTAGACCTATTTTCTTCCTTTTTCTTCCATATTCTTTCTGTTCTGCATGTAAGAAACTGAAATATGTGAGGGGAAACCTGCATGACATGGCAGGAGCAGCATTTGGTTGTACTGCGATAAAGTAATTAAGCAAAGCTAAGATCACAACAGATTAATGCATCTTTAAGGTATGAAGGCATTCAGCTCAGAGCTGTGGTGTTATTTCATTGACAGCTTGGCTGCAGTGTCAAAGAGCAGCGAGCACTGGTTTCCCATGTATTTAATGCTCAGATCAGCCCCTCTGTGAGAAGTACAGAAAACCTTCTTCTCTTTTATGCCATTCTGTTTTCTTAAAGGATCCCATTCCCTTTTGTATAGAAACTTTGGCTTTTTTGTTTATGTTTCTAAAGTGGGGGTAATTCATAGACAAAATACTTAGTCTTCATCCCGCTTACGATTGAATGAGGATTCCGATTTAAGTGCTATATAATGTCTAGCTAACATTGATATAAAACAAAAAATAAAGGCCTTTTATTGTTTTATCTAGAGATTTCTAGTCTGTGGCCACTTCTCTAAATCACTTGGGGCTGCATCTCTGTCTCAGTTTATTGATGTAAACACCCAAGAAACTCTGCTAGTCTTGATGGAATTGCTCTGCATTCATATCAGTGTAACTGAGATTTGAATCTGGCATGTTGTCTGGACTATTCTTTTCACAGCCATGAAATGATCCACATTTCTCTTACCAAGATTTAGCTGCAAATTTTTTGGTCTCTTTTATACTGCCTTGTAATAGTATAAACATGAGAATGTGTTTACATTTCACATTTTAAATAAAACATTTTTAGAACAGTAGAATACATATGCCTAAACAGAATGAAGGCAGCATCTTCTATTTGTCTTGCCTATGTCTGTTTAGTCCCTTTCTGTCTGTTAAATGCCTTATTTAAAATTCACCTCTATGCAGAAGGCCAGCTGGAGGCCTTTGTACTACTTATCCCAGGGAACCCTGTCCTGACGATTTACATCGCATTTAAACAGCGGGCAAGGTTTGTGCCAGCTATTCGCATAAACTCAAATTTAACCCAGTGACCCTGATCCTGCAAAGATTTGTCTGTTTTGATTAACTCCAGCACCTGAATCATCCTGGGGCCTGATCCGGTCTAAAGTTAAATTGTTTCTAGTTTTTTGCAGGATGGGGCTCTTACAAATTAAGCTTTCCAGTGTGATGCACTTTGCACAGTTCAGGGTAATCTTTGGCAATCATAAAAGGAATAGGACAATGTTCTTCCGTATAATCCTCAGGGTACCCACAAGATTGCTGGATGTTTGTTTATTTGATGGGGTTCAGCACTTTGGAAGGTGTATGAACCATAGCTGCATTTTTGGGGCTGTTTGTATGAAGACTAAAAATCTAAAAAAGGCTAATTTTAATTGCCTTTTACCCTGTCATATTTTGGAGTTTGGCCTTAGCAGTTCCAGCTTGTACAGTAAACAGTGATTTCTGTTGGAGTGTCTGTTACATTTATTATTACTACAGTGGGAATGCCTGTAGGCCAGGAAGATCATACTTGTTTTCAGGTCAAGAGTATGCTTGTTTTCATTGGTTTAGATGATTAAAAACTTTTGACATGTATTAGTTTGAAATTTTAAATACTAAATTCTATTTTATTAATAGCATAGTTTTGTTTTAGAAATGACGTAGGTCTTTGCCAGTTGGCAAATTCAGACATTATGAAGAAAGAGAGAAAATCATTAGCATGGGGTGGGCTATTTAAAAGAAAAAAAGCAGCTTCAGAAAAGCAGCATTTGGGGAGTATTTCTAAATATCTTTTGTTGTGGGAGAAATTTTACCTGCCTTTCCCCTCCTCATATCTTTCCTAGGTAATGAACTCTGCTGCTCTGTGCTTTCTTGATCGTAGCCCCAGGCCCCTCTGCCCAGAGCAGCCCCTTACTGGTGACCTGAGTTGTTGGGTGGTGTCAGGCCAGAGCAGGACACATTCTTATTCTTCCCAATCCTCATTTACTAAGTTCATGGTATGATGACTTTCAGCTATGCAAGTTCCTTGCAATCATGATGCATTTGTTTACTCAGATATATCACTCTACTGCAGCGCACGGTGAGCATGGCTGGGAGCTGCACGTGGAGCTGAACTTGCTGAGGCCAGCTTCTTTCCATTTCTCCTTTTTCAATTTCTCTCTAGCCCACACAGTTAGAATAGGCAACCAAAAACTAGGATAAAGCACAAGCAGAAACAAGATAACCATTCAGATAGATAGCTTTTTCTGTAGTACCTCCAGAAAAGCACTTCAGTCACTAGGGCACAAGCTGCTTCAAAAGTATTGTGGTAGTGATTTAAATCTGGTAATAGGGTAGTGATTTAAATCTAGTAATAGGAGTCCACCCTCAAAAGGGACTTGCTGTCTAAAAATAAAGATGACTGGTGAAGAAAGTGACAAGGAGAAAGGGATGTTTGGCTTCAGAGAGGCCGGTCATTAGGAAACACAGACGTTCTTGAAGTTGCTAGCTCACCATGGTTATGCTTTTAAATAGGAAGCAATTTAGATTAATACTCCTATGCATTTTTGATTGTAGACAAGTTCCTGATTTTTTCTTGTGGTTTTTTTTTGGGGATGGGTTCGAAGTGACTTCCCCCAAAAGAAATGGGCAAATTTCTCCAGGGCATTGTCCAGCTGAGCATGTCTGCTGCTGGGTGCAGTCGCGTGCTGCGTGCCCCCACCTGCTGGTACACTGGTACATTTGTGTTTCTAGGGAGCCATCCTTGTTCTTGCCATTCGCTGGCATTTTGGTGAGTCAGACTCAAACCAACCTCAACAGAGTATGTTTGACTGTTGCTGTTCCAAGTAACCTGGGTGGAAAAGGATGTCCTCAGTTTGATTCTCTGCTCTCTTCTGGAATGTGGATAAGAATCAAACTGAAATCACTGCCAAAAACTGTCTGTTGTTCTCTTCAGTACGTCTGCATGAATATCGTTGCCATAAATTTTGAACACTTAGTACTTTGGATAGTTATTCTCACAGCAACCTTGCAACAGGAGGGGAATGCTTTCCTATCCTTTTTAGAGATAAGGCATTGGCACATGAAAGCTGAGTGATTTGCTCGTGGTCTCTGAGAAGTCTTCTGAAGTCTAGCTTCATGCCCTAGCTGCAAGGCTTTGGGCCACAGCGAGCATGGCACCATGTGTACCTGCACAACTAACTTTGTGTGCTCCATATGTTAGCAGCTAGGAAATCTGCATTGGAAAAAATAACCTTCTCATTGGGTGGTGTAAGGTTAAAACGTGAAAGTCCTGTTTGATAAACACAGCTGTCAGTTGTGTGTACAAAACTCAAGTAAAAATATTCAGAGATAAACTGAGGCTTCGTGAAATATGTCTGCACATTTTTTTTCTACCCCAAAGAGCAATTTTTTTTGTCTTCAATCTTACACGCACTTATGCTCTTTCTCTCTCTGTTTCCCTCTCTCTCTTTTAAAAACCCTCTGACAAAAGGCTGGTATTGAAATGATGCTTTTCAGGTCCAGGAGCGCTTTGGGGGGGGGTTGTGTGAGAGGCAGCTGCTGTTACTTCCAATCCATACACTGCTCAGTACCAGCTACTGGGAAATAGATGTAAACTGCAGAGCGTCACTCTGTCAAAAGGCTAATTATCTTTGATTGTGCAACTTAATTAATTTTGAGGTCAAGCACAGAAAACATAAGCTGATGGATTTCCCCCTCTGTCTTCTTTTTTTTCCTCTCTCCCCCTCCCCCCATATTTTATCCTCCCTTCTCTATTTTTCTTTCAGTAACCAATGGCACTAGCCATTCACCAACAGCGTTAAATGGAGCTCCATCTCCTCCTAATGGCTTTAGCAATGGGCCATCCTCTTCCTCTTCCTCTTCTCTGGCTAACCAGCAGTTACCGCCAGCTTGTGGAGCTAGGCAACTCAGCAAACTGAAGAGATTTCTTACAACCTTACAGCAGTTTGGCAATGACATTTCACCAGAGATTGGGGAGAGAGTGCGTACCCTTGTGCTAGGACTTGTGGTAAGCAAAAAACCCAATGATAAAATAACTGATCTTTTTCTCTCCTTTTCCTTCTTTTATGCTTGATATGTTTATTACATAAAAGAGTGGGTCACATACACTGCATATATCATACTTTAAGGGTGCCAAACGTGCAAGAATGAAGTGTTGGCTCTTGCTGCCAGAGCTAACATGAGTAACTTGACTAGCTGTCCGTGAGTGGCAGCTATTCCCAATCAGATATGGTATAGTATTATGCTGTAATGGTGTGAAAGGGGTTTCATTCTATACTGGCAGTGCCCCTGCTATAGACGTACCTTGAATAATACAACGTAGCAAAATATGGTTTGGCTTCCCTAGTTTAGTTGGCTGGGGAAAGGAAAGTGCCTTACATATATAGTGGCAGAATACTGGTTAAAAGGATGAGCTGAAGATATGTTTGGACTGCAGTGGAAAACCTTTTCTCAGTATTCATTGAACCCAACAGTGATGGACCTGACATGGCATTGCTGCTGCTTAAAGTGACCTTATTTATAAGGTTATCTTTATGTGATTATATGGCTGAATGATAATTTCAGCTTTTTCTTATCTACATCTGTCAAATTGGGCTGCTATTTTACAGACAAACTTGTGAATCTGGACCAGTATTCTTTTTATTCCCAGTAAAGCCCCCTCTCTGCCAGACATTGTTGTCTCCCATGTATCTCCTTCAGCAATAATTAGATGTACCAGGAAAAATGCTGTTGTGGTGCTCTAATTTACATCTGTTCTGAGCAGCTGCACTTGCCATCTACTTCATTTGGAGCAAAGACTGCCAGCACGGTTTAGTACTAGGGCTCAGGTGTCCTCTGCTTGTATCTTCACAAAACACTGCCTGACAGCAGTGGGTACCCCTTCACTTGAGTCTCTGTCAAAAAGAAGTTTAATCTAGGCAGTGTAACTCCAGTAAATCCTACTCTCCACTTGCTTCCATACCCAAAATGCCCGTTTAATGTGGTTTTGCTTGTCACATGGTTCTCTGTGGAAAGGGGAACTAGTAAAGAAACTAAAGACAGCTCTGGCAGCGTCTACCTGCCCTTGATTTTCAGATTGCAAGTGCCTGCCCACTGTTAATTACAGCTGATTCCTACCTTCATCTGAGCTCTGAAGAGGAAATTAGGATCTTTTCCTTGGGAATGTCCACATAGCACGTTATTTCCTTGGCCAGCCCTGTGGAGCCTGTGGTCTTCATGATTATGCCCTCAGCTGCAAAGTAATGACTTTCCTACACAGCCTAGAATGTAGTAAACAATCCTCTTTGTAAGTACAACAGGCAGAGTGCAGTTTTCCTCCTCAAACAACAAGGAATGTGCCTTTAAAAAGTGAGATTTTTTTTTTTCCTGCTTGTGCATGTTAATTACCACTTCTGCACTGGGAACAAAATTACAAGAGGCTCCAATAGAAAATAAAAAGTTGAGAAAAGCAGCTTTAACTGATGTTTGAAATGTGAAAGCATTTCCAAGCTTAGCACCTGAGAGCTTGAACTGTACTCTAAGCAACAGGCACTGAATGTCTGAGGTGCTGGTGGTTTCCTTTGAGTATTTTAATAAGGTAATAATTTAATATGCGGCATGCTTTTCTTTATCCTCTTATCAATATCAAGAACGAGTTATTAAGCAATTTCAGAGTGCTTTGGTTACTGTTTCTCTTGCTTAAGTGTTTTCATTATTTTGTCACCAAGACAGAATTTTTTTTCTCAACAGAATTCTACTTTGACAATTGAAGAATTTCATTCCAAACTGCAAGAAGCTACTAACTTCCCACTGCGACCTTTTGTCATCCCATTTTTAAAGGTATTGCACAGTTCAGTGATCTGGAAAATATTTCAAACCATATTGTTGCTAGGTCACAGATGTGTGTTATAGTTTTTCTTTTTTAAGAGAGTCGGGAAAATGAATAACGTTTAAGGGCTTCTTTCCATAGCTTAGTGCATGGTACTCCATTTGAGTGTGCGTATGGTTCGGAGACCATTTCTGGCTATTCAGAGGAACTGTTGATTCCCTAATTCTATAATCATTGTTGTTTGTTTTATACTTTTAGTTTGTAGGTGTAGAAGCTTTCACAAACTAAGTCTTGAGAGTTGGTTATAAGTACAATAATGTCACGTGCTTGCAAAAAGCCTGCGTTTTGCTACCTTTGTGCAATTCAGAGTGAGAGGATGTCAGGAATTCCCCCAACCAGCCCATTTCT